GGAGAAGAGCCGAGAGCAGGACCCTACCCAGAGAAACAGAGATGCCTGAGATAGAGACAGAGATGATGACGTGGAGTGATGAAGTGACTGGGGACCTTGGACCCAGAGAGGGAAACGGACTGTGGGCCGAAAACTGGGGAGGGGGGGTAGGGGAAGTGTAGGGGGCGGGTTTCTGGGATATACCCTTTGGGTGGTTGATGATGCATGGAGGGGATTGGAACCATGGCAGTGAGTGTAAAATGAATGTAAAACGATGGAATGAATGTAAAACTAAAGTTCTCCCATGTAAACTATCATATAATTCACAATAAAACATTAAAAAAAAGAATAATCAGGAAATTTAAACTGAGTCGTGATAGATGGGCCAGTAGATGCCCAGTTCATCTATGTATAAAGGAGAAACAAATGCATCCAATGGTTCTGCAGGCTGTCTAAAACAAACAAAATTCCTGCTTCATAGCTTTCTAATACCTATGTGTATGACGTCATAATCCTTTTACATGTGAGCCATAAAACTCAAACTGAATTTTGAGTAAGAAAGTCAGTTACATGTCAGTAGAAATATTTTGAGAATTTAAATGAAATGATAAAATTCAATATAGAATTTAACAATAATATAACAATTACAACTGCTACCTGAATCTAAATATAAGCATACAAAAACAAACGTCTTCCAGTTTTGGTTAGGGGGGAATTCTAAGACATTCTGATCAATTTTGATTTGTTTCTCATGTTATGAACTGGTTATTTATTCTAAGAATATTTATATAAATATTATCCTCTAACGTCTTGACTCCATTTAAAAATGCATACTGAAGAAAAAGATATAGCATCAAAACAGAAAGAAATATATGGTCTTAGACATGCTGTCTTATAATTGCTTATGACCATAGTTTAATTCTTTCCACAAAATTTTCTGAAATTAGTCAAGGGCATTATCTATTTGTTTAAGTCTGCTGGTATAACATTATTACTGAAGAAAAACTACTAAGTTATTTATACAAATTCAACTATCCCTTATATCATTAATATTATGAACTGAAATAAATTTGAGCCACATAAAATGTTAATTAGTCAAAGCTGGCACTTTAAAGCGATTATTAATAGGTTTTAAAAGAGACAAATTAGAGGGAGAGATAACATCCAGATTTGTACTTTTATCACAAGGAGCCCTTGGCAGTGTAGTGGATTATGGGCTGCGCCGCTAACCACAAGGTCAGCAGTTCAAATCTACCAGCAGTTCTGTGAGAGAAAGATAAGGCTTTTTGCTCCTGTATGGAACCGTGTACAGGGTCATTATGAGTTTGAACCGACTCAATGGCATACAACCAACACTTTTATTATAAAGTCAGAAAAGTATAAAGCAATAAGCCATGCAAACCTGCTTTTCTGCATTCCTTTTTTGTCCAGATATATGTAAAAGAGTCAAGCGCCTCAAATGCAGTAGTTGAGGAGGCAAATGATGTCATGATTGAAACATAATCATTTTTTAAATCTACAGAACTTTGGTCACATAAAACAAAAATGGCAACCTTTTAAAACGAATTCACCAAGATCAGTTCCCACAGTCTTTTCATGGTTTTCAGCTCCCAAAGACTGAGGTTATGATTCCAGATCACTCTGACACATTTACTTACCACAGGTCTGTGCACATCCCAGAATGCTCTCTCTTGGCTATCAAGGATCTTCCTTTCAATTTTGTCTCTTTTCTTGTCCACTCTGTCAACATTGTAACAATTAGTGATAAACAGCATTAATCACAGTGCTTCTCTAGAAAAAAAGGACACAACTTGAACAAAACTTCCAAAACGACTCATAAGGACTCACTTTGCTTGTGCCTCTGCCTGCATAAAAATGAACTCCCATTTCCGGGCAAATGCTCTCTGCAGCCTGGCCAAGCTCTCCTGAAACACAGATCACATGTTAGTGACATTCTTGGGCTATCTTCTTGCTTTCTGATCAGAAAAACAAAGAATTTCTAAAATACTGCTTTACTCTGGGTTTGAATACTGAGTCATGTTCACTGAGGGCAGATAATCTTCATACTAGCAGTCTTAAAGGAAATAAGAAAATGTACTATATATATTAATTTTGTGAATAATTGGCATTGGAGTGAAAAACTAAAAATTGAATATATATCTGAAAAATATTAAAATTACGTATGAAAAAATGTTCAAAAGTAATCCATAGATTATTCTGTGCCCACTTTACATACATAGAACAGGAAAACAGTGTGCTACTACAATTTAGTCTATGCAATTTCCCACAATAAATGTAAAAACCCAAGTCAGCTACTACAATCAAACCATTTGCCCTCAAGATGATTCAGACTCAGAGCAGAGTAGGAACGGAAGACACAGCAGGACTGTCCCCAGGTGGTCCCCAAGGATGTACATCTTTATGGAAGCAGATGTCACATCTTTCTGTTGTGGAGCAGCTTGTGGGTTAGAACAGCTGACCTCTTCCTTTTTTTCAGTTCTTATTGTGAATTATGTGATAGTTTACATGGAAGAACATTAGCTTTACATTGATCCTATTGTATATCCTTTAATTGCCATGGTTACAATCCCCTCCATGCATCATCAAACAGCCAAATGGTATACCCCCACAAGCCTGCCCCTTGGTCATCAGCACACAGCCCTTCTCCCTCTCTGGGTCTAGAGTCCCCAGCCGCTCCATCTCTCCACATCATCGTCTCTGCCTCCATCTCAGGCATCACTGCTTCTCTGGGTAGGGTCCCACACTCTGCTCTTCTCCCTTGATGGTCCCAGGGACCTCCACACCTGGATTGCAAAGTCAACCACTCCCATCCTTTTGCTGAAAAACGTCTACCTTTACATTTCCAACCCTCACAGTCAGTCCTGGTAGCAATTATTCACTGTTGTATCACATGAGTGCTATCCCCATCTCCTTTCATCAGCCCCACCCTGACAGATTGGGTACTACTCAGTGGAGTTTCTACCTTCCTCCACGCCCTCTGGATCTAGGCTCCCTCTTGAAAGCTTGTAAGCCAGTCACTTCTTGCCTTTGTAGCCCCCCTATTTTGGGTAGCTAATGTCCAAGTTGCCCATCCCTGTCTGCCCTTTGTATCGAGGGGGTGGGGATGATCCTTGCTGTAAAGATTCCTTCCCTCTTTTGAGCTACTGCATCCATAGATGTAGGTCAAGTTCATCAGATTTTATCAGATTACTCTTTTTTTTACTCTTCTTTCTTCTAGTTGAGTTCTGATTGTCCAACATTGAAGCCAGGTCAAGTGGGTATTACCTGCAAGTGTGGGTGTTCCTGTAACAGCTGAGCTCTTAACTACTGTGCCACTAGAGTTTCTTGCCAACCTACCGTTCATATCCAAATGATGCTTCAAATGTGGTAAATCATAGCATAAAAGCCATCTTTTTTGCAAAAACCATTTTCCTTATATAGATGAGCTATAATTCTCAACTTCAGCTATCTTGAAGTAGTATATTGGAATTTATTATAGTTAAATCAGTGTAACAATTAAAATATGCTTCCCTCCTTTAGTCTAAGGCGCCCGTGTAGCGTAGTGGTTTTGTATTGGACTGCTAAGTCAGCACTTTGAATCCACTACTCGGGAGAAAGATAGGCTTTTCTGCTCCTGTAAAAATGTACAGCCTCGGAAACTCTACACCTGGTCATTATGAGTCAGAATCGACTCAACAGCACATGCTCACATCCTCTTCTATTCTGAGTTTTTGTGTTTAGAATTTGACCATTCTCAATGTGAATGACATGAGGATGATAATTAACTCATTATACTGCTAGATTCCTGGAAATCTCACCCTTAAATCCATGAATGTAGAAAGTTAAATGAATGCCCCAAATGATAATGTTGTTATTGTTGTAAAGTGCTATTGAAAGGGTTTTTATTCATAGCAACCCTGTATAGGGTTTCCAAGGAGCAAATGGTGGGTTTGAACAGCCGACCTTTGGTTTGCAAGCCAGTGCTGTTCCTACAGCGCCACACCAGGAGCCCAAAATGACCATGGCAGGGGCCATGATGGCTCTGATAAGAAATATATTGCAACAACATCAGAAGCCATGTCACCAAAGGGCAGAACGGCGAGAAACCCTGCACACGAAAAGCTCATTGTTTTAGCAAAGTGACAATCAAGTGTCTCCTTGGTTGGCAAAGCCCCAAGGAGAGCCTCATGCAGGGAACTTGCAGTCTCTGTCTTTTCCTTCTATGAATAGTTCATTTTTTTTATTTTTCTTGATTTTATTATAGAAGTTTTTAGTAGAACTCTTCATAAACTCTACATAAAGGGGAACAAGGAAGATTTTGATATTCTTGATGCTCTATATTGAAATGATTAATATGTAAGATTTAGACCACTACTTTGAAAAGAATGATTAATAGATTGATGGTATAGAGTAGTATAAAAGCTGTTTGAGAATCTGAAATAAAGGTGAGAGGAGAAGATTCACCATTCATTGAGACCCATTGATTCTGTGAGCTTCATTTCTTCGCCAAACGCCACATCTCCCTCCAAGGACCCCCTAATAAGAGTGTCATGCTGAACCACGACAATAGGTCTTATTTTTGTTAATTTTAATAATTTGCTTTGAAGGTTCTTGGTACTTACAGCCTCATAGTCTGCTAGCTCCAACCTTGCTTTGTTTTGCATTGTTCTCTTGCAGAGGTAAACCGCTGAAAGGGAAAAGAAAACAGAACAAAAAACAACAAATGATTTCTTACCTGCTTACTAGCACTGCGGCACTTGAAATCAAAGCATAGCAATCAATATGTATTGGCTTGTGATGCTTTTTCCCACATTTTATTTCATATTCTATCTTTTTTTAGAGTAAAAAAAAATAAAACATAACATCATTACTGAAACACAAAGATGCTGGTATTTACGATGCCTTAAGTTTAGAAATTTGATAACCAATGCCTTATTTTTATTAAATAGCTGTCACAATTATAGGTTCTTCAAAACATAAGGGGAATGCAAACGGCTTTTTAAGAAGATATCAATTGAACCTTAAGCTGTAGATGTATAAATCAAGCCATGTTGTAAAAAATAATTATGTGAAGAGGAAATTATTATTAGAGAGTTTAATTATTTCCATGGCCTACTGTCAGCTAAGCTTAAAAACTTAAACTGAAGAATTATTGGCATATACTTTGCTTCCTGTCACACTGACTAATATTCAATCAGTTATTTATCACTAAGAGAAATCTGAGTATAACATATGACTTCACCAAAATATAACTTTTCTTAGCTTCTAGGTAAACTCCATCTGGTGCTCTTCAGATTGTTGGGATAACGAAGGAAGAAAACTCAAACCCATTACCTTCAAGTTGATTCCGACTCACAATGACCCTATAGAATAAAGTTGAACTAACCCATAAGGCAGTCATATTGACAGAAGTAGACTGCTGCTTCTGTTTCCTGTGAAGCAGCTGGTGGGTTTCAACTCCCCACCTTTCAGCTGGCAGCCACGTGTTTGACCACTGTGCCAGCAGGGATACTAAGGGGTAAGAAGACAGCAACAGCAGCATTGTCACCAACCAATCAAATGGCTTCATTTACTGCAGGCAACAGTGATGCCTCTTACGAGAAAATAAAATCCCTTAAAACCTTCTGGTAGAATCCTCGTTTCCAGAGCATTTTTGTCATTTTTTCATATACAGGTGATATTGGAGGCTCATGAAATTCTGGATGACTTATATATATTTTAATTGCTGAATAAATCTGCTGAATGAGGACCATCTACTATGACATTTGTAAGGGGAGTTGTGGGCAGATGCCTTTATGAACACAGCCTTTGTACATATTTCATTTTTTTGCTGATGAATTTTAATGGATACCGCTGAGAGGAAATCTTACACCAAAAATCTAAGACCACTGAAAACACTGGGAGTATGTACTCAATTTTCTACCCTCAAAGATTTTCCTATATGAAGGTCAAGGTAAAAGAAAGAGCTAATCATGTTTGTTGTTGCTACTGTTAGGTACTGTCGAGTTGGTTCTGATTCATAGCGATCCTATGCACAACAGAGGGAAACACTGTCCAGTGCTGCCCCACCTTCACATTTGCTGTTTGGTTTGAGTCCATTGTTTTTTCAATTGTATCAATCCATCTCATTGGGGGTCTTCCTATGTTTCGCTGACCTAACAATTTACCACACAAAGATTCTACCATTACTATAGACACCAATAACGACATGTGGGTTTAGAACATATCTTTCTATAATCTACCTTCACAATTTTATTTTCTGCTCATAGCAGTAATTTTCAGAAGTCACATTGTAAAATTAAAATGAAAAGGCATGGGTTCATATTCTAACCTATCAGCGTTTACACTCACTCCTGAAGAAACTTTTAGTGCAGAAGCCACTGTGACTTTAATAAAATATGTTAAATGTTCTTCATGATTGGTAAAACTGATTATAGGACATGTACAATACCCCTCGAGACGTCTCTTCACGAAAGAAAGACAGGATCTTCTTAAGTATCTATTTAAATGATCTTTAAATCATTTAACTTGTAATCAGATCCCAAGTCCCTGCTAAGCTATCAATCTGCCCTTCTCTGTATTGCTTCTCCTCTTGCATCAGCCTTGGATTGCTTCATTTGTTCAAGTCATTTAACCTTTATTCTTCTCAAAATCAGCCCCCTTTTGGGAGACATATTTCTACCCTCATTAGGTAAACTCTTGAATAAAAGCAGGCAGGAAAACTTTTTAGATGATTGTTCACCAAAGAGTTACGTTTGCTTTAATATAAGTGTATCATAAAGCAATTTTCTGTGTCTTTATATAACAAAATAAAGAAGTGAACTGAAAATGGCTAGCACATAAAACAAAACAAAACACCAAACCCATGAGTTGATTCCAACTCATGGGGACCCATATGTGTTACCATAGAATAGTGCTCTATAGGGTTTTCAATAATATTTTGTAAATACACAAGCAAGTCTTTTGTCCTCAGCGTTGCTGGGTAGATTTGAGCTATAGTCGCCAAGCACAAACTATTTGTACCACTCTGGATCTGCCTAGCATATAGTAATTTTGTTGAATCAGTGAATATATGAATGAATGGATTAATAGGAGATTTTCAGAAGGAATTAGTGGTTAAGTCAAGTGAAAAATTTTCCCCAAATTTCTACTTGACTTGGCAATGAGAAAGGTTGTTGTTGTCAGGTGCCATCGAGTCAGAACCAACTCATAGTGACCCCATGCACAGCAAAACAAAACAATGTCTGATCCTGGGCCAACCTCACTACCGCTGCCACACTTGACGCCATCAATGATGCCACCTGGCTGATCCGTCTTGTTGGGGGTCTTCCTCTCTTTCTCTGGCCCTCCATCTTATCCAACATGACATCCTTCTCCAACGACTGTTCCCTCCTGACAATATGTCCAAAGTATGAGAGACGAAGCTTAGCCATCCTGGCCTCCAAGGAGCACTCTGGCTGCACT